ACATCAATTATAAATTACTGATATAATAACTTCTTACGATAAAAAAAAAGTCTAAAAACAAAAAATAGACAACGAATAATTGTCGATATTAGAAATTTTTTTTAATAGTAAGCATACGTCATATTTTAATAGTAAATATTTTAATAAATATTATCATTAAACAATATTAATTAAATATATACAAATATGACAATACATTGTCTTATATATTGTCTCAAAGAAATAAATTATTATATATCATTGGAAAACAATATATTACAATACACTGTTTAGAAATGAATATGTTTATAAAATATTTTTAAAACTATTTTATATTACCAACATAAACTCAAAAAATAACATCGGTCAATATATATATATATATATATATATATATATATATATATATATATATGGGACGGTTCCCTTGATATTAAANATATTAAAAAAAATTGAGATCTTAAAATTCAACATCGGTCACATATTTACCATTTGTCCCTCTAGCGTTTTCAGTGTACAGACAACAACGGAGTATACCTAATCATAAATAATTATATGGCAGAGAAATATAATCTTATATGATTATGCATGTTATACGTATATGCCTAATTATAAATGTTTATACACATATATTTGTTCACAGATTGAGTAATCATATATCATTATAACGGTTGATGGCAGTAGAGGTGGTGACGGCGGTGACGATGATATATATGTGACGAAGGTGGCAGTAATGAGGTCGTTTAGTGGCATAGGTGGTGGTAGTGTCGGTGACGGTGGCGGTTGTGGTGGTGGGGAAAGTGGCGAAGGTGAAAGGAACGAGCGGCGCTACATAATCATTTATGATTATAACTGGCCCACTGCGCCGTTACGCCGAAGGTTTAGAGCGACAAATGTGAATTATATATGTATGTATGTGATAACTTACCGAAAATAAGCATTCTGACGAAGGTACCCACAAGTTAGCACTAGCTGTATCGAAGATCACATTAAATTTCTGAGGTGGGGTTCCAATGCCGATCTCACCAAAGTATTGAGCATTCATATAGTTGTTTAGTGCTATGATATCAGATTTCGTGGAATCACGAAGGTTATTTGAACTCTTTGTGTACTTCCTAACAGACGCGTTTAAAGTGACGTCTGAGCTGGTTTCACTAAATTTCACTTTCTTTAGTTTTATCCTAACAAGCTCATCCACTGATGTGGTAGATACCGGAGTATAGACAAGAGTTGACAAGGATAGTAAAATTGCTAGAGTTTTCAACTTCCTTCCCATGTTGACCTACATGTTAATTCACCATTAAGATCAAGTTAGTCATATGTCAGCAAGTATATACAAAAGTTGTTTAATTATTAGCTACTAAGATACCATAAATCTATATTAGGAAAACTAAACCTTAGGAATATAAGAGCAAATAAACTTGGTCGTTACAAAATCCAGGTGTCATACAACATAAACTTATTAGACATTGACAAATAACGTCAAAATCTGTGTTATCAAATGTAAGATCATTTTTTTGCTTGGATGTTATTTATATTAACCTTAGTTAAGCATATAAGCTCATAAAAATCAATAATAGGAGCCACCTAGTTGGAACTCAAAACACATCTACCCAACATCTATTTCTTGATATTACTCAACTACGTCAACTCTTGAAAGGTTAGAAAAATAGAACAAAAAATAACTAGATTTGTGCCTAATCATGAGAACAATCAAAACCATAAAATACAAAATGTTTAGAAAAGCATGTTGAATTGACTAAAGTGAGAAAAAGAAGATTGAATTCTGGAATCTTACTCGGCTCTTGAACATTACTATATTTAAACTCAAAATCATTGCATGCAACCTCAACAACTTTTATCATATATGGAGGAAAACACAAATATTAATAAAGTTTAAAGAGTTAACTAATTCTCAGAAGCTACGAAACTTGAAAACAGCATGAAATTATGGGTTCATACGTATGACATGATTATCGATTGGAAATATATGATAACACATGAAAAATACAAAATGAATGTTTATAAGGTTGACAACACACAATCCCTTTTAATTAGACAAAACTGGAAAAACTGGTCCTTCTTTGGATGGGTGGAAAAAGTTTCCTTATAAAGAAAATGATAATTTAGTTTACTTAACGATTTTTGCTGTGCTTTTATTCCCAAACTTTAACTACCCAATTTAGTTAATGATTCATAAACCAAAATCACTGACTAAATTTGAACACGAAACCAGAAAAATGAAGGTGAGGCCACAAATCAAAATAAAGAAGAGTTCAAGTCAAATATTTCGAATCCAAAGTTCGTCGGTTACAAATAGTCTTCGCTCATTAAATAATAAAAGCAATATAATAATGAGAAGTGATTCCTACGCAACAGTTTTTTGTCATACATAACAATTCATGCATTATATAGTTGTACAATACAACATTTTAAAGCACCAATTGTTATGTATGGAGAAAAATTGTTGTGTACGGATCGGTTCCCTATAATAATAGAGTAAATTTCACAAATGGTCTCTGGTTTGAGATAATATAAACATGGTCACTACTTGGTTTTTTTTAGGTAAAAATTGTAAAATTGGTACGTATGTTATGCAAAAAATATAGATAAGATCCAAAAAGTTTTTAACTTGTATGGAATGTCCAAAATCAAATATTTTATGTGGTTTTAGTCCTAAAATTAAAAACCTCTCATGGTTTTAGTCCTTAAAAGACTTGAAATGACCGTTTTGCCTTTTCCTTTTCTTTTTATTATTTCATATTTTGTTAATTAAAAAATTGAAAAGAAAAACATTAGGCCCATTTATTCCATCTAGGGATGAAAATTTCACCCGACCCGGTGGGGAACCCGGTTGACCCGCCCCAATCGGAGACGGGTATTCCCCGCTAAAACGGGTTCGGGTACGGGACCGGGGATCCCCATTATACTAACACTGGGGATGGGGCCGGGGCTGGGTATAACAATCCCCAACCCGCCCCGCCCCCGTTTTGATGACTATATATATAT